TATATTACTATTTTAGTACAAAGAAACCCAGAAATACCACCTAGTGATACGTGTGACCCAACAAGCATTACAGTGGCAAGCGAGAAGTACACAATAATTTATACTTTTACTCACAAATATAACTGTAAACAATAAAAAGAAGAAGAAAAAAAAACAGTGGTAGCGGGCGGCCATAATAGATGGATTCAGAAAAACTATGATTTAATGTACCATTAAAAACAATTTCCAAGATGTAAGGCTGACTATAGTAGTACTTCTTTCACTATGGAAGTACATGCTATTTTATTTTATAATCGTCTTTGAACAGCCCACCCAATTGAGTACACGTTATTGAAGAGACTCATGCAATATAAAAATATCTAGCGATAACTACATCAATTCAAATTTTAATTCATTGCTTATCTCTTTCAGATTCTTACCTTAACTAAATATCTAACCAAAATTACTTTTAAAATATTTTTTCTTTCGATTTTCATTTGAAGCAAGTTAATTACTAAACAGCAATTATAGTTACACAATTTAATTCATTGTGTAAAATTAAATTTCAACGGTTTAAAGATTAAATTTGAGAAGAAAATTAACAAGTGGCACACTAAACAACAGAAAATAATAAATAGTTGTTTAAGTGGCACACTCATCAAAAAAAGTTTGCCATCCTAGTCCTAGTTTCTAAGAGTCCGAAGTTTCGAAAATATAGTGGAATCAGTGCTAAATATACAGTGAATACCTTTAAAGTTAATTATTTTATTCTTATTAAAATTGATGCTTAACTTGCAATGTAAACCATTCACAGACTCAGTCATGTACTATTTATATTTCCACAAGAGATAAATTGATTGTTTGGGGTGAAAGGCAATATAACCTTAAGAAACTTTTCAAATAGAATAATCAAGCCAGCTTTCATTTTAACAAAAAGCCTAAGTAAGCCTTTCAGTTCATCTTTTTTCTTAAATTTTGCAAATGTGAAGTTTTTGATTGATATTTTATTTTTCTTAGATGCATGTTTTATTCATTTATTATTATTATTTCTTAATTGCTCATTTTTTTCTCATTTTAAAATTTTATGAATTCAAAACTCTTTTTGTTAAGTCCATTATAAAAACATATAAGTAAAGAGAAGATGAAATTTTTTTAATTAAAGCTGTGAAGTTTACTCCAATCAAGTAGATTTTTGAATGACTTTAAAGGTCAAGAAAACAAATTGTTCATTCAATGAGAGATTCCCCCCCTCTATTTGTGCTTTCACACTTTCTATAAGAAATAACCTGATGATTGAGTAAAATCATGCACCTATATAGGGTATCCCAAGGCCTGGGACATATGGGGTAAAATGGGGCTTTATTTATCATAAGAAACAACTTTAATATATTTTTAAAATTAGCGGAACATTAAGTTAAATGTTTTTAAATTCGACCAATATTTAATTGACTAATATTGAGATCAGCTAAATTTAATTAGAATTAACAATTCAGAAATGCACAGCATAAATAAAGAATATAAAATAAATAGAAAAATATTTTGATCTTTATAAAATATTAGCATAAAAAAAATCATATTTAACTTTAATGAATTTTTCTACATTTGACGATTATATTCACCAAAACTGGTGAATATGCTTTAAGTGAGGCATTTTGGACCTTTAGTTCTCATTAAAATTTTAATGATAAAACTTAACGCAGTTGTTCAAAAATTGGTAATCAAAAAAAATTTTATATGTTAAAAAATTTTTTTTTCTTTTCTTTTAAAGAACAATTTTTAAGCACATGGCAGATTTGATAATAGAAAGTTTCATTTTCAATACTTTTAGAATTTTTAAATGACGAATCACTCTCAGTATTTATCCCAATCAATATATATTATTTTTGTCGGTTTCTAAATGGTGTAAGTTTCGTTAAATTTCTCTACTTATGTGTAAGTTATTTCTCTCATTTACAATGCTGGTTTAAAAAGTATTGTACCAAGCACAGGATTCGCATCGATTGGAGATGAATAAAACAGTTCCTAAGACTCCAAAAATTTATTAGCAGAATCTTTCAGAAAATACAGCTATTTCTAGCACTTAGTTACAGGCCAGATAACAGTCTAGCACACAGCAAATTATGAGCTTTGAAACTTTCAGACGGTTCAATAAACTTATTAATAATCTCCAAAACTTTCTGAGGAGACACGTTCCTATTTATATAGGTTTGGTGAGGAAACCCCGGACGTCATATAACTCCGTAAATATTAATCCTATTGTTTTGAAACTAGAATTTTCTAGAACTACCATTTTGTCGCCAAAAGGAGTCTTCCATAAGAAATATATTAGGCGTTATTTATCCCTAAATTATGTTAGATTTACACAATTTTCTGATTAAATCGTTCATTTAGGGTCTATCTGAGATATTTAGTAACAAAACAAATATTTACAAAATTATACACATATACATATATTTACAAATTTGTAACCAGTTAACCAATCCAAACATACTTTCTGTAAAACAACTTACTTAATCAACTCTTTTTAGGAGCTTGTATCAGAAAATACAACAAATAATGCATCAAATGTCCTGAGCTTATTGAAAGCTGCTTTTGTTTCTCATCTAGAAGCCTATTTTACACTATTACAAACAAAACTTTACTCTCACAATTACTCTACTCAATTGAGGCATTATTTCACTGAAGACTGCAATAATTCGTTTTTTATTCTTTCTATTTATCTTTCCCCAAAGAGTTTTACAAAATTTTCAAAACAGCATATATTTATATATAATTACACGGGATGTAACATAGCAGATCTACTCAGGGTGCAACGGGGAAATGCCAAATATGTTTTAGATTTTACCGAGTTCTCCAAAAAATAGATTTTCAAGTGCTTCTTCTTTGCATGTTTCGAGAGAAAAACCTTGGAATGTACTCTTCTCAAAACCACTGCTTGTTACTGATTAACTTTCTTTGGCTTCTGTCTCAACTTTTTAACTCCTGACAAAGCATAATTGTCCTTGTGTGCAACTGTATCGTTTATACATTGTTGACTCTCCTACACGTTCTCCCAGTATGACTTTCCCAAGATATCCCTGCCTTGCATTTAGACGAGTGTTCTGCATTATCTTCTTGCTCTACTAAAGTAAAGAAATATTGGAGAGCTTGTGTTTTAATGGCATAGCGGCTAAATGACTGGTATTTACTAATAATATAATTATATATAAATGATAATTTTAATTTTTTAAAATAAAAGTTTCAAGAGTGTCAGTTAAAGACCTTTTTAGTTTTATTTATTTGTTTTTACAGGTTTCTTTTTACCAATCACTTTCTTTTATTCTTCCCCATACATCGTGCAACGCTTAAGTTATTCGGGGTCTGGAGCTTCAACTACATTAGCGACCCTGAATAGTGACTTGTATAGATTTTTATATAAAGTTACATTAAAACGAAAGATAAATATTAAAATTACTCATTAAAATCGCCTTGGTTTTGATTTAATAAGTGGACCATTCTCATGAAAATCAAAATTTAAAATTAAGTTCACGGAACACAAAAGTGCATTCTAATTTGTAATATAGTTGCATTTTTAATTTTAATAAGCCAACATATCTTTTAAGCAAAATAGCTATATCTTTTGAGTAGTCATATCCCTTTGTTCATTCCTTTATGTCCCACTTTATCATCCTTCTCTTTTATAGATTAGTTAGGGCATAACAAGGGTCATTCTCTACTAATACGCTATTTTCAAGTAGTGATAGCAAGGAAAAAAATAAATAAATAAAAAGTGACAGGAATTTCTTATCTTTTGTAATAAGATACAGGAGGGGACAAGAACGAGATAGCAGTCATGCTTAATATTTTAAAAGCTGCTACAATTATTATAAGTTTTTATTAAAATTAGGGAATGATAACATGGTGCAAGAATAACTTTAGTTATCATATTTAAAATAATAATTTTAATGAATAAAAGTACATGACAGCCCTAATTACTTTAAATAAGAATAAAAAGAAGCAAAAAAATTCTTTTTTCTAACTAGTCTTTGAAACCATTAGAATGAATCCCTCACAAATGTATCATTTTCTCCCAATGAAGGAATTATAATAGTGACGGAAAGAGAAGAAAACATTAGTTGCTGTTGAAGTTTATGTTCATAAATAAAATTAAAATAACAATAAATATTATTAAACTATCCCATAAAAGTGAATTAGAATACTGTAGATTAATAATAATCTTTAGAACATAAATAATTTATATTAATTACAAAACTGCCATTCTCACACAATGAGGAAACGGGCATTATATATATTTTAATTCATTCTCTTTAGAGGAAATTAAAACACTAGTCAATACATTTTAAGAAAATAAAAGAACTTCATACGTTTGAACGAGGGAAAGTGAGTGTCATCTTCTGCTCATCCAATTTGTGTATTCAATTTCTTTTTATACATTGACGAACTTCTCCCAATTTATTGAAATTTGATTTGCAGTTTTAAAGTACCCAAATAATAATGCCACCCAAATAAAAATCTCATTTAAAGATCAAAAAATCAATACGTAGAAACAACACTTTTCTAAATCCTCAGTCAGGATTAAGGAGGGATAATACAATGTTGTGAGGGAATGACGGGACATATTAAGGATTAATTTTAAAATAATATTATAGCATTATTTATATAAACACGAAACAATTGAATATAAAATTCATTTTTTGAACTCTATATTTCAATATTCTAAATTGAAAAAAAGAAAATTATTCTCATTCAACAGTGGGGACAAGTGAGGGAATGACTAATGAGTATTTTAGTTACATAAAATAAATAAAAATTGATTAAAATTATTTACTAATTTGCTAAAATACATTCCAAGGAAGCAGAGTGGTACATTGAAACATTGGAGGCATGAAAGTAACTATTTTTGTGAGAATGATCCATAAAACTAAAAGTTTGAGAAAATCTATTGCACTGTTATGTTCATTGCACAACTTGAGCATGAATGATGCACATTAAAAAATAAATACCATTTTAAACATAAATACCATTTAAATTCCTTTTGTCTTCAATCTCTTCATCACTTAAACCTAGAAGGGCAGCTTCCTCATCAAGATCAAGTTCATCTAGGCCGTCATCCTAAAATAAAAACCAAAACATAAATTTTAATGATCTGATTTAAGAAAAAAGCTTCAGGATTAGTGAAAACACTAAAAAATAAATAAATAAATAAAATAATAATGCAGGAATAATGTTCGCAGCCAGTTTTGGGGAACATTGACTTATGGATCTAATATATTAGCCATAATTATTTCTAACTTTCAAGAGTTACATTCAAATGATTATAACTCAATTGATAAGATTCAACTTTTAGTTATGATAAAAAAAACTAAAAAATATTAGTTACAAATTATTTGGTGTAGGCTTCATAATAGATCAAAGAAAAAATTCAAGACAAAATTAAAAAAAAAAAATCAGAACTTTTTCTGGAACTGTACTTATACCAGACTACATCTAGAAAAGGTAAACAACAAACTGAAAAAGTATAATTTACTCTTTTTAAATGCAATTGTAATGAAAGCAAATTTGAGAGCAAAAAATAATAAAATATACTACAGTACAGAACCCGTTATCCGGAAATCAGAAAACCGGAACGAAATTCGATAAATTTTCCCGCCATTTTTTTAACAAAAATTTTTTTTCCTCATAAGATTTTAGGATTTTTCTTTCTTTTTTGAAAGATGTTCACCTTACCATCATTTTGGAAATAATCATTAGTGTATTACTTCATTGTTTTTTCTTCTTTTTAAGATTATTTCCCCCCAAAAAATTTTTTTTAGTTGGGTTTAACAATAAAAAAACTCCTTTTTGTAGCGATTCAGAAAACCGGAAAAATCAGTTATCCGGAATAGCGATGGTCCCGATCGTTCCGGATAATCGGTTACCTACTGTACTATTTTTAATTAAAAAAATTACTTTGTTCAGAATAGAAAGTTCTATCAGTTTTCAGTCTTCATTCTATCAATACTGAGCAACTCATAATAGTTTCAAAATATTGAGAATGGAACCTTTTTTCTAGTACCATTGTATTAAAAAGAATAAGCAGTACCATTATTAATTATTTTATATTCTCTCATAACAATATTTAACTTAAAATTACAATTCAGTTCAAAATCTAATTTTTTAAAAATCTCAAAATGAAAACAGTGAATATACTACAAAATTTTTGTACAACAGTAATTATGTAATTATAATATAGATGATACCTTCATTCATCATTTAAAAAAGCTTAAAGACACGTGAGAACGGACAAGTCAAATTTTTTATAACATAAAAATGCTTTCTTTGTAATTTTTTCCCCTCTGTTTAAGGTTTTTATCACATTACATTCTCTTCTTGTCAATGGCCTTAAAAAATGTGGGTGCTTGGCAAAATCCGAATGTCAGAATTTCTTAGCAAAAAAAATATCATTCTAACTTCATTCTAAAAAAAATGCTTGACGCCATTTGAAAATTTTGAAATTTTTTACTGTAACAGTGAGAGCTATGAAATCGTTTTTAACTCCATTTTTGAGAGCAAAGATCACAATAATTAGATAGGTAATGAATATTTGGCCCTTTTGCAAAAATATTCAGTTGGCCGAATGTTGGGCCAAATATTAATTTTTCTTGAGAATGATTAAAAAAAGTTTTTGAGTAAAAATTTAGGAACAGTAAATTTTTCCCCATGATTCTGTGACCGACTTAGTAACTATTTTTTAAAAATTTTATTAGAGAATCTTTTAACTCTTGGTATGTTTTTACTGTCTGGCTATAGGCATTTTGATTGAGAGTTCTTTAATAATTTCCCTACAGCTGATTATTCAGAAAACTTTTCAAAAATAGGCATAGTGAAAAAGAATTTATCCTTATGAAATGATAGCCAGCGGGAAGTTGGTTAAGACTCACTTTTTATAACTTGACAATTTTAAGAGCCATACATAAAGCATTTTAATTTAAGTTCTTGATTTAATTTTTGTGTCTGATGTTTTGCTTTTGTATATTTCATATCTTTCTATATTTGTATTTTTCGTTTCTTTTTTATTTCGCACGGCGTTAGGATAATGTCTATATCGCCTGCTGCAATGGAAGCAAAAAAAAAAAACACCATAAAGCATTTTTGAAAGAGAAAACAATTTCATTTTTGATTTAATGCAATCTTTGATAACGTTAATATTATCAGTTCCCCCGTGGCAGAATCGCAGCGACACAGTCGCAGAACGTTATAGAGTTCTTGCAGAAAGATTTTTCTTTAGAAAAGCAAATAATTTTACCTTTCTTTTCAACAGAAATTTACACGCAATATTGGAATCACGGATTTAGATAATAACTTTTTGACACGCCCAATTTACATTTACGGCGATAGTATCATAAATCAATGTAATGCTTCAATTGTATTTTTGCCAGTTATTGATATTGATTTTAATGTGGTTTTTCAATATCTCTATATATTTTAAACAATATAGAAAATTGAAATCATGCATTTGAATATTTACTTATGAGGCAAAAAATCCAAAAGATTATCAGTTATTGCTATTGATTTCTTCATAGTTTTTAAATCCTATTTTTTTCCTATCCTATTATCTAATCTCAAAACGAAACAAGCATTAGAAGAGTCTGATTCGCGTTATTCCGTCGTCTATATTTTTTTTGGCAATTACTACTACAGATTTCATGGTTTTTAATTATTTTTTTAATTGAATGATTATTTACAAAATGCGAAGAAGGAATTAATTTGTTCCCTCCCCCCCCAACAAAATACAAGAATATCACCCATAATATTAGAATAAAAAATTATTACATGTTCAAAAAAAATATATATATATATACTATAGCTTTCTTTGTAAACACAGTGCTTTTGTTATTTTAGATTTAGATTAGTAACATATATGTTTGTTATTATTAAAAGTATCTTTCATAAAGATATTAGTTCTAGAGAGTATTGTCGCAGATAGCTGGAAAAAATTCTGCCACGGGGATCAGTTCTGACACAGTGCACTTCAAGTGCTATTAGGCATCCACCAAAACCACCCACTGCTTCCCTAAATTGGAAAATCTTTAATGTATTCAAATTTAGAGCATCTCTAATAAGAAACATTCTTAAGATGCAAAAAATAAAAAAAAAAAAAAATTGAGCACATTAGAAAAGACAACAGGCCATTTTTGGTTTTTTAAAATAAACTGCTACAGTATAAAATCTAGTTTATTTGCGTCATTATTATTTGAAATGTAATTAGTTACTATCAATTCACTTAAATTTCAATTAGAAAAAAATGATAAGTTAATTTCTAAAGCTATCTAAATGATAAATTAATTTTAAAACAACTAAATATCATAAATGATTAGTTTCAAATACAATTTAGATTGAAAAAATTATTTTTACAAAAGTGATGAGTTCCATTAACTTTAAAGTAACAGTCTTTATCTTTTTAAAAAGAATTTAAAAAATAATATGCAGCAGTTTAGCCAGAGGTGTTGATTTGATCCCCTTCTGAGATTTTTTTTCCTTCATGTCACTGCCCCAGGATCGCCAAAATTTACGACTTTTAATGGTGCAAGTTCGAATATAAAATTTCTCAAAATTATTTCATCAAATATCGAAAATGAGTTGATAATTAAGACATAAATTTCAAACATTTCATGAAAAAATTAGTTCCCCCTTTTCAATTGAAAAATCTAAGATCAATTCAAATGCTATTAGAAATCGAACTGTATAACGTTATTACATTACACATGAATTTTTAATAAGATACTTGATTCGTCAATATTAGTAGAGTTTATTTTTTATGGCATTGTAAAATGTAAACATTGAGAAAGGTAGGTGATCGCAAAGCGTAAAAAATATTGAAGTTAATTTTGAGAAATGGATAACTATTTATGAAATAACATAAGTACGATTACATGCATAGAAAATGTGGTAAAATTTTAAATGAAAATAATTCACCTTGAACTGTCCATCATCGGCAAGAAGATCTTCATCCATTTTCACGAAAAATTTTATAAAACACTCTTATTGTACAGTTAAACAACGAATTGTTCATACATCAAAACATTTCTAAGAAATTTAAAGAGTTAATTATTACGAAAAATCGTGATTTCGCAAATCTTGTAAACGGAGCATACGCTTGAGAAGTAACAATTTCCACTAAAAATGTATTTGTTTGTTTCATTCGCTTCCGTTTGCTTTTTTCTGCCTGCTATAAGAGCAAAAAAGAAACTATATAATTGTAAAATGGCAACCTCAGCATATAAAGCAAATTCAGACTGACAGCACATGGCAGGGTTGTTCCTCAATAAGTGTTTATACTACTACAAGCAATTTACTGGCATTTTGACTAGCTATTCAATCGAAATGTGTCTTAGTTAGTATAACTATAAAACTGGTTAGCAATTTAGATCATTTTAGCTTCTGCAATGAAAGATTGATACTGGCTCTTAACCGTTTTCTTTGCTTACGAAAAATTCGCGATGTGAATTCGGTGATGCGAGTGTGAACCTGATTGGTGAAAAATATATGCCAGCGAATAACTTGCCAATCAGATTATCTTTCTCATAACTGAATTCACATCTGTAAATTTTCTGCAAGCGGTGATGATGGGGAGGGCACATAGCAGCCGAATCTGAGAAGGATCCATTTTCAATGTAGCCGATTCACCCATCACATACGAACCAAATATGCAATATATTTATATATATTTTTAACCAAGAGTGGCGCTAGACTTAGCCCGACAGGGGGTCAGCAATGTCCCGACAGGGGGGCTAAGATAATTTTGAAAATAAGCAATAATTTTTAATATACGAAAAATAATTAATATGATATAGACATATTTGTTCTGATAAAAAAATTATCATGATTCAAGTATTAACAAAGAAAAAATATAAAAGTGATATCTGAATAAATAAACAATATATGCACATCCATCATAAGATTCTACAGTGTTCTCAATTAAATATTCTACTCAAACAATGCAACTCAAACAATAAAAAATTTATGCACAACTAGAAAAAATTCCAAAAATTCGAGCTTACTACTACTAATGTTTAATTCCGTAGCCTTGTAATTTTGAACCTAATCCAGCAGACAAGAGAACTCCAGGATCAAGTAGTGGAAGAAATTTTTGCATTCGTGGAGGACGTTTTGATAGCCCGCATTTGAGTTACATGGAGAGGAAAACCACGAAATCCTCCTACGGTTAGTCTGATACCAAGGGAACTCTAAGAAATGATCCGCTTACCACTGAGGATATTTCACGTCAGCAC